TTCCTGAATAAGGGTATACGAACTTGCACGTCAGGCAGCCAGTTCTGACCTTGGTACCATGGGCCATGGCCGGGTGTATGTGGGGTTGGCCCGATGGATGGCTCGGCACTCGGGACGTCTCCAAGACGCGGCGGGGGAAAACACGGCACACAAAGTCGTCGTGAATCGTGAATGCCTCGAGGCGGTCAGGTCAGTCGAGGGAGGGACGGGGGAGGCGGAGACGACTGCGTGCGCGCGTTGTGTACAGGTCAGGAAGGTAACAAGAAAAGAGGCGATGTGATTGGGACCGGCAGTCGATCAGGAACCCGGATAGATTTTCATCCAGAAGTCCGAACTCGAGTCGAGTCGAGTCGAGCCAAGGCGACGGAGAAGGGGGATAAAGAGGATACTATGGCCTTCATGTTCGATACCCCTTGGTCAATGAGAGACAAGAGTCAAGAGTCAAGAGTCAAGGTCTGTTCCGGCAAGGTTAGCTTAGGTAGGTAGCTTGGATAGGTAGTCTGAAGGCAGGAGGCAGGAGGCAGGGCTTGCGTCGCGCTGTTCCCCCCAAAGCCAAAGGCCTCGCGGCAGTGACGGACGACGTTTAATCTTCAAACCGGTGGGGCAGATGCGAGCCAATCGACGACGACGACGCCCGGCAATTCGTCTCCACAGCACATCCACAGGCCCCTTCCCAGGCAAGCCAGGCCCTGACAGGCTCTGACAGGCGCCCCCCCAACGAGCCTTTGTCGACCCTCGAAAGCAGTAAAGAGGAGCCTGCACAGGCCCCTACAGAGGCACAGCCTGCCGCTACTCCCCTCCTACGCTGCCGCAACGTAATCGGCAAAACCCTATGACGACTCCCTCCGAGGCCCTCAAGATGAGATGAGAATGTGCCGCCTCACCTGGGTTAGGTGCCCCAGACCATCAATGCAAGGAGCTATGACCTTGTCAACGTTTCTCTGGCTAGCCCCGTCTTTGTCTTATGCTTATGGGTTGCACTGCAACTGGAACTGGACGAGCCATGTCGCGTGGGGAGAGCTAGGTACGCGCGGCGTGCGTACACGCACCCAACATCAGTACCAGTAGAGAGTCATTCCATCTCAGCCGCCTCAAGCTATCGTGACTCGCGTCGTCATCTCCTAGACAATTTTCCTTCTAGCCTCATCTGCTTTTTTTTTACCCCTCGTTGGCATTGTTGTTGAGCCGCAGCCTTTCTCGCTCGCATGACATGTGGGGTTTTTGCTATCCCTGCCGGGATCGGAGCATATCTATCCCACTTACAGATTGCTTGAGACGGATAAGATTACGAACAAGCATTCTTCTTTCTGGGTACCGTGCTCACCACATGATCAGTGATTCACATCTTTCCAAGTCTTGCCCTCGCGGCCTCATTCCCCGCCGCGATATCTTTCCGCCACTGCCCTATGTACGGACGTA